GGTTCCCTCAGAATTCGTCTTGAAAGGGTGAAATGGCATTCTCCTAAACGGTCGAAACCTCTAAAATATCGTATTTCCATGAACAATGTCAAGTATCTGAGGTAACAGTATCTATATCGATCGGATTATGGGAAGGTTCACAAAATCAAACAAGAACAAAAGTTTTGTTAAAAAAAAACCGAATAATAAATTATCCTATTTCTGTGACAGCTCTTAGTCGGCAAACTTAAATTACCGATCTATTAAAACGTGGACAAAAAGAAAAAATGCATCCTTTTTCCAGTGTCCGTTTGATACAGGTTTCTAACAATAAAAATGACCACAAAACCAAGTTTAACCTGTCCGCGTCCGCTAAGTATAGGTGTCCGTTGAATACAGGTATTTTTTTTTACAGTAAATGTGGGAAAAGAAAAAAATGGGACTTGCCGCTTAATAGGAGGTGTCCGCTTACTATGGGGTTTGCTTAATCGGGTTTGACTGTAGTAAAATTCAGCAAATGAATAAACATGGTCATTCGATTTCCTTTGTTTGTGTCCTCTGAACCTCACTGCCAGGCTGAATTTTTATATTTCGAAAACGGTCTTTTCTTACTAGCCTGCGAGCTGGCTCACATTGGAGCACAAGCGCGCATTGGAGCAAAAGCGCTCGCGGCGTAGCTGCGAGCGCGAAATTGAGAGAAAGTTAGCCTGCTCTGATCTCTTAGATTACGAGTAGTCCCTCTTTCGCGCGAAATCCTGGGGGCGAGGAGCGCCTGAAAGGAGGGACTACCGCCTAAGCCAGGAAATTTGACCTTTCACGGCCGAGTGATTTTTCGGTGTATGTTTTCTCATCTTGAAGTCCTCTTGTTATCGCCTGTTGTCAATATTCCCGGGTGATATCCTAAATAAAATTGCTCTACCCTGGGATCTACTCTACTCTTCAAGTAGCGAGATAAAAACATGTCGTAAGAAGTATATCTTCGTTCAGCGAAACTATCAAAGAAGTCCGGTTTCTGGTGAATGTCCGGTTTCAAGCGAAATTCCGGTTCAATCTTTCAAATGGACGCCCTGGAACGGCAGAAAGACCAAGCTAAGTGAATTCATATTCACTGAATTGTTCTTGGACGATGCTGTTGAGCGACGAAATCACTAACACGCTCGCAGTCGGGTTGGTGGTGGAGAGCTTTGTCAAACAAAACACTGGATAAATATAAATCTTTGCAAAGCCTGTTGGCAGAATCGCAAGAACATCACGGCTTGCGAAGCGCGATTCCAACGCTTCGATTTGCTCCTGTTCCAAAACATTCTTGTAAGACGTCGCACGTATCTCGAATGTTGACAACGCGTTGTTAACACTCCTAAATAAGCCAATCATATTTTTGCGTTGTGAGAGCAACACATAATTCAAACTCCCTGGCTTAGGCGCAGGCGTAGGATCTCGCGCGGCTATTTTTTTTCTCGCGGTTTTCTTTCGCGTCTCGGACGCACGACCGATTAAGCGAAAGAGGAACCACTCGTAGTCTAATGAGTACAGGTGAAGTGTATAAACTTTGAATGAGTTCGGTAACGTAGTTGGGGGAACGAGTCATGCTAGAATACGTCGAGCACTAAAATATCACATGGACGGTGGATGAACTTGGAAGACACTGAATTTGGAGGTAATTTATTTTCGTCTTTGTGCGGTATTTTGGATGTTAAAAAGTATTTCTGTCACATGACCGATCAGCCAAGTATTCTGAATTGAATTTGATTTACAGCAATGCAAAATGATTTCAAGTTTCGTTGACATAAGCCCGAGCTTATATTTCATCTGCATCAGGTTTATTAATGGTTTATGCAAGTTTATATTTAGACATGTTTAAATCGACCGGCTGGAATTGACTACCGTGGTTTGCTTTCCAGTGCCATGTTTTTTTGTCATCAGATAAAAGGTCATTGACCGAGGCATCAACATCCATCTGCTCTCTCGATGAAGATGATATTCCCGCCGCTTGGCTAGGTTTGTCTTGTGAGAGGTTTGACGGTTTATCGTCGTTAAAATCACCCTCGGTGACCTCCTCCTCACACACATACCTCTCAAGAGTTTGGGTTGGGGAATAGCCGAGAATAGCCTTGTTCCATAGATTTTTGCAAAGCAATGACCTGAGCGCTCACCATGTCTTCATCGTTTTGGCGGGAGTCAATTATGGCCTTTTTCCCATCATTGTCATTGCCGCGTTTCGAAGGCTTGGAGCGTTTCTCTCCTGGTACCGGGTGCACCAGCACATGAATTTCTTTCGATGTTTTACTAGGCGAAACAGGCGGCATTATGTGTGCAAAAACCAAGTTTTTGCAGGAGAGACAAGACAATCCGTTCACCACGAAAGCAACAACGTACTGAGATCAGGCAGGCGCAGTGCCATCTCACGTGATCCCTCTGGGGTGACAAGGTGGAATCTACCATATACGGCTAAACATACGACCAGTGGCGTCCCAACGTAATTAAACTCGGTTCCAGGGCTCGAACAGTTTTTGGCTTGAAAAAGTCAATTTCAGCAGCAAAAAAGCGTATTTTCCGTAAGTATTAGCAAACATCAAGCCATAATGATAATAATAATAATAATAATAATAATAATAATAATAATAA